CCTTTCTGGAATAAATTTAAGGCAAATGTTCTATTCCACACTATCAAGTAGAGGGAGAAGTGTAAATGTTTTTTATTTGAGAGACAACGGAAGGAGAACTAGCCAAACTACAAAATACATGAAAGTCAACTAATAACAAAAAGATCCTTTGATTCAATTGGTAAGATAAATAGTAAGTCTTTGACAAAAGCCCTATCTAAACATAGACAAAATTGGAGTTACAGGAATCTAAACTGTCTTTAAGAGGAGAAAAAGCCAAGCAGATGCACCAGTAGTTTCTAAAAACAGACGAAAAAAGAAATTGGAGTACAGTTTCCAAAACATCACACATTGCTTAATTTTCTTAAGGAAAACAGACAAATAGCAGATCTCTTCATGGAAAGGGTGATGCAGTGGTCAGCAAAGTTTTTTCAGTTCTAACAAACATAAGTTACTTTAAGTAGTAATTCCCTTCTCACTGTAACGGTCCATTTCACCTGAGCCTTTGTCTTCTGAACCCATCTGCTTCAGACTTCTTTTCCAGTGTGATTTAGATGGATGCCCATAGCTGACCTCCCAGAAGAGTTACATGAACATTTGGATGTGAGTGGCTACTCTCACTGTAATGCTGATATCCACAAACAGTTGGATGAGGGATGTTTATAATTGAGGATCATCTTCTTTTTGTTTGCTTGTGAGCAGTTTCTTTTATGTTCTGTTACTGAAGTACATGTGTCAACTGACTTAAGAGAACAGCCTTGTAAATTAGATCTTTGATCTCAAGAGTTTATTTTATCTTTGCAGCAAAGAAAAGTGAATTGATTTGGCTGGCAGAACTAAGCACTCTTGTCTCTGTTCCACAGCTGCTGCATCCTTCTGGGGTCATCATAACTTCCACTTCCACCGCTACTCTTTTGTTACAGAATTAAAAAAGGCTTCTCCAACATCTCACCATAACCTGCAGTACAACGCTGAAAGCTTTACAACTCCTAGTTTATTATACAAAGCATGCAGCATGTCAGACTGTTTTACTTCTGGAGAAAGGATGTAATTGACAAGCCACTGAGCTGCAATACAACAAAGCTCTGTGAGCTACCCTCATCAGAAAGTAAACTTTAATAGAATATTCACCAACTTCTGGGGGGAGTAAAACACCGTCTAGAAAGACCACTGCATGGAGGGCTGCAGACTAAAGAGAAGTTCCTGCTCTGAGATGTTGAAAGGAGTATGTGATCCATTGTTACTATTATTTATGTCAATGTATGGAGGCATTTGCATGAGGTACTGTGGTGCTACCTACTCCACGTACACAAAAAAGAAGACTATAGGGCATAATACCTATACAGTTTCTGATTCAGGTCACCATATGATGGTGTCATCATATTCTTACCACTTGCATTTCACTTAGTTTCCATATTTTCATAATTGCAAATATTACAGAAATAACGTTCAATGAAAACTGCTTTACATGTCCTTTCTCCAACCCCTTCCTTAGTTTGGTGTAATTTTACTACATATTTTTCCTTCTACACTACTAAAAGAAGTAATGAACACATGAGAACCTTGCCATTTCCTACTAGGTAAATACCTGTAAAAAAACTAATAATTTTTAATAGCTTCAAAGTACTTGCAAGTAGAATAGCCAGTCTTAGTCAGGAACTATTGCACCCACCATAGAGGTTGAAAAACTTTCCATTAGTATGTTTCAGAAAATAAAGTTTAAAGCGTTATTTTTTTAGGATTTCTACTGAATGATTAAAATCACTTATACATGGAGGAAAAAACTCTGGTTTAGGAGGGACTGCATGCACAGGAGTCAAAGTAGCACTTTGGATCTTACTGGTTTTTCGATCATTTATCTGACGCATGCAGGAGAATTAAAAGATCCTTACTTATTAGCATCATATAGTCAAAGAAAAAGCTTTACATACCTGCATGCAGAACCTAAAATGTGTGCTCCAGAACCGAACAGTGAGATACTGTGCCTAGATCAAGGTTACTTCTTACGCTTCTGGCATCTGAAAATGATGAAATCCTAGGTTGACAAAAATCTCCATTTCATTCTTCGGACAATAATGCTTCCGAGCTAACTGACTGTCCACATCGTGGGAACAACATAGTGACTTTTCTCCCCTTCCAGTAAGCATGAATACTTGGCATTGCTTCTTTTGAATGGCTCTGATTCAGACAGAAGTAGGGCTAAGAAAGGGCCTGTGGGAACAGAACCCTCTTGCAGAGTGGACGTCTCTTTTCAGAAAAGTTTCATCTGTGTGAAGGATGTTGAAAAGAACGAGGTAGTTCTCTCACAGACTCACTGGACATAAATATCTAGCTGGTAAAGAAAGAAGATGATCTCAGTGGAGGATACACGGAGATCAATATTTTTCCTTAGTTTAAGGAATTTAACATATTGATGGGAAAAAATCAGACCTAATATACCTCCTCCTAGCTTTGTGAGCTCATTACAGAACCCAAAGCTTAGCACTGTTGAAGAGCTGCAGTACAGCAGGTGGGCTGAACAAACCCAGCTCCACTTATTAAACCTTCTTCTTACAGCACCAGACTGGAGCCTGCCTTTGGAATATACAGAGGATTGCTGTAACAGACACTCTCTAGCTTCAAAAGGAAATCTGGCTAATTTGGAATTGCCCTGTCATCGGCAGAAGAGTTGCAGTTAGCTGAGAAGGGAAGGACTTACCCTAGGAATTGCACTTCTGGTTCCTCTCCATACTCGATAGGCTGAGCAGAGAAAATCCAAAGCAAGATGAACTGTCATGTCATAACAAAAGGGTGGTTGTGGGGAGGACAGCGGTTTCTCAAGTACAAGTTGTTGGGATCAACCCACTTATCTTGCCCAGGAGACTGCTTTAGTGCTTTTGTGAACATGAAACAGGTTCCCTAGCTAAAAATGCAATGAGCTATGTGTTATTTTTGAGACACTATAATTACCATGGTGAATATGCTGTTTGCCTTTTCCTTTTAGTTGCTCCAGGGTCAAAAGCTCTCAGCTGTGACCACACAAGTGTATATTTGCCACCTGCAGGACTGCAGTATCAGGGTTTGGGTCCTACTTTAGAGAAAACATCAGAAATGGGATCTGTAACCACCTCCTGGCATGGCATTTTCTGGTTCCACTTCTGAGTTTGTCACCGGGGAGTTGTCTGCGAGGACCAGCTCCCAGTCAGCTTTCTGTCAGGCTGCTCTGGATGCAATTATTCTTTGATTTACCTTCGTACATGTGGGCTTCACTCCCCTTTTCCTATGCTTAAAATTAGACTTTTCCAGAGCCTGTGTTTACAACTCTTCCAGAGGAAATAAGAAGTGTCTTGTTATGTTTGATTTAGTAGAAGTTCCATAAGGAAGCTATCACACAACACAGAGTACATCTCTTGCAGGGAAAATGTAGAGAACTGCAAATGAAACTCAGAATCTCCCATCAGCTACAGTAACTCTAAGTAAACTATTTAGTAAAGGAGTGCAGGCCTAGTAATACTTCCACTCATGGCAGTGACAGAGCTCCCATTTGCAGCTCTTCACTGGCCCAGGATCACACTTCTCTTTTATTATTAGTTCTGGAGTTGACAACCTGTCTTAATCCTAACATTAATGACATCAGCTATGAAATATCTTTCAGTTCTAAATAATTTACATATCTATGCATAACACAAGGCAAGCAGTTCTATTGAAGTTCTCATTATTATATACAGAAAGGACAGCCAGGCTGGTTTACTATTTTGATATCATTATTGATTATATTTGAATAGGTTTTAATTTTTTTTAAAAACTGACTATATTCTTTCATTGGTGTTCAAATATTTGATTGACAACATATGGAACCATTCAGTATTTGTTGACACTGACAGATACACAGATCTTCACATATATCCTATGCAATAATCACTTAGCATGAAAGGTTAAACATCTTGCACGAGTAATTCACATTTTTTTTATGAATTAAGACTCCTTGAAATCTTTAATTTTCTGAAGATTTTGTGCCACCTTCATATTATCAGTAGGCACATAGTAATATCCATAAATCTTACCAATTTATAACAGTTTAAGTGTACTTTTTTTTTATCCCAGTGGAAAGAAATTTACCTTTGCTGTCTGGATGCCATTAGGCTTCAATCCACTTTTTATGGATGATCTCAAGCAAGGGATAGGTTTGTTCCCCAGGCCTGGCTAAAGAGAGGGCAGTCAGTAGACACATTCCAAATACCCTTGCTCATTACTAGTACTCTTGTTAGATGTAGATTTTACCCTTTACAAAACATGACGAAGGATGAAGGCCAAATGTTTAACCTACCGTCCACATTTCTCATCATGGGTGAATACAACCTCCTCCCTACTCTCTTTTGCTTCTCCTCTTCTTTTGAAATGATGCTTGTGAGTGTAACAGAGCACAGTTCTGACAAGATGTAATTATTTTAGATAAATTAGCTAACTTTTGGCAAGAAATGAATGCACAAAATTACATGCCAAGTCAGCTAGCAAAGAAAGAACAAGTATTGTGAGTTTGTTCAGTCTTCAACAGTGTTTTGCAGTTCTGCTTCTAGACCAGCTGAGCTGCAGAAACATTTCAGATCTGAAATGGACAACTTGAATGGAAACACGCTATTTGCAGAATGATTAATTTTTTTAATGATTAAATATAAATCAATCATGAAAATTAGATTTAGTGCTTCAGGTATGTGTTAACTAAAAAAACTAGCACACAAACCACTTCTAAACAACTCGGTAAAATCAATTCTTCCTTATAAGAGTTGTGAGTACTTCCCAGCTCACAGCCATAGGATCCTCAGAGCAGAGCCATGGATAAGACCTAGACCACCACACAGAATACATCAAATGAAGTGCAATATATTTGATCAAAAGGAACCCTATTTTAAATGACACTGAAAAGATTTCCAAACTGAATTTCCAGGTTCAAGCTCCCATGAAGTCTGAATGGTCACAGCTACAGTAAACAACACAGGTGAACCTGAGTAACAACTCTCACACATAAGAAATAACTCACTGTGATTTAGCATGTTTTTTATTGGACTGTAGAAGAGATACTGTCCCTGAAACAATAACTTCAAAACATTTATGAGCACAGCTGTCAAAAATATTAAATACATACACTTAAAAAAATCTAAACCACAAATATTTAACAACCTAAGACGTATTCACAATGTAATTTCTCCATCATTTACAGTATTTCTCTCAAAAACTATAAGAGGATGCAAGTCTGAAAATATATGTATCTTAAGCTAGCACAGAGCATAGAAAATATATGAAAATATCCACTAATGTTTGGCACAATATAAATATTCTACCCCGAGAGAAAAAACAAGTGTTTTTTTTGTGTGACACAGATCATTATTCATCAAAACTCATGCCACCACATCAGGGAGCTGCTGCTCGTGCAACAGCAGCTCTGGTTTTAGTCGGGGAAAAACATGCTTAAAGCTTGTGAGCAGGGGGGACAGTGGTCTGTGAGAATGCATGTTTAGGTACTTAGCCATTTAATTTAGCTGGATAAGAAACAATGTAATGTTTTCCTGTTGCTAAACATTGCCATGTGTATCTCTGGCACACAAATTGAAAAAAGAAGGGTGTGACCATTAAAAGTACGTGTCCTGAGATTTCCTTCTTCAGGGGGCAAAGAGGTTAAAATGGAAAAGCTGATCTGTGTATAAATCAGGAACACATGTGGTAATGAGAACAAACAGCAGCCAACACGCAGGAGGCAAGGACTTCTCCAGGCACAACATGAGATGGACAAAAATACCATCTATTGGAAAGGGAGCAGAGCAACTGATTTTTACCTTGAAATTAGTAAATTTTACCAGTTCTATTAAGTCTTCACAATTATTTAAGTACTCGTAATGAACTCTGAGTTTTAAAACTTGGTCTAACTGAAAAGCTGTCTGTTCAGGAGTGCAAAGCAATATTGCTTTAGTGTTAATACTGGTTTCTATCTGTAGAAAATCAGAGGTGATCTTAACACATGCAACAGGATCTATGTGTTTAGTATCTGAGTGAAATAACAAAACAGTGCAGGCGTGTGTAGACTTCATCTTAAAGTTATGAAATGTTTGTGTCTGTAGCCTACCTACTGGAAGTAGATAGCAACAAGCAGTCTCAGGCTGAAACAGTTTTGCTTGATTTCTTTTGAAATAACCAGAATATTTAACATCGTTAAGTTACGGTTCACTTAAAGCTAAGAAATACAACATGGTTGTGAATAAGAATCCTTTTCACACAATTCATCTGATTCATCAGTGGTAGTCCCCCAAAATATTAAGTCGATTAAGTCTGTATCTTCACCTTAGGACTTTTTCCTTGACACAGACAGAAATACTAAAGAAAACATTACGGATCACAAAGCACTGAATTTTCAAGGGTAAAGTCATACCAAAATCTTGATAAATTATCATTGATGTCGTAGGTGAGCAATCGGTCAGGAACGTCATTACGGGTGCCCTGTACTGCTAACACATGTGGTGCTAGGGCAAAGGGTACGTCACTCAGAAGATCTGACATGAAAGGGCTGCTTTCCAAATTTTGACTCCTTTCATTTCCCACCTCGGCACTTGATACACTCAACTGCGATCGGTGCCCTGTATTTATCTAAAGAAAAGAGAAAAGCAGAAATTTAGACATCATGAATCAGGCAGCTAAGGCTTTGTGCTTAGAGCCATCATGACCTAATACTAATACATGAAGAAAATAAAATAATAAATAAAAGTAGTTTCAGAGTTTGGTTGAAGTACATCTGAAACAGCAGTTCCTAATTCATGTCGATATAGTTTTTTGGGTCAGGTTGACTTGAATTAACGCTAAAACAACAATGGATTTTTTTGATGATTAGTAAGATTTCTCAACCTATTGTTACTCTGCATTTATGAAACCCCTACGTTTGGTGGGACTTTTTGTCATAATGTCCAGTCTTGCTTAGGGGAAATGACTTGCATTAGAACTCCTTTTAGAAACTGACGAAGCTCTGTCTTTTGTTCCCCTTGTGCCTTTTCAGAAGCTGTCCAACAAAGACATGACTGATGATTATAAAACACTCCTATCCCAGTTATTTCAAAGTATTAATGATGTTGCTTTCCAAATAGAAATGAAATTGCAAAATCGGAATAGCAACAGGAATTGCAATATATGCATTGCCAAACGTGTGCTTTATAGGAAAAGTCAACAAAACTTAAACAAAAAACAAAGCCCCCAAACCCTTGAGTCAAAACCAACAATAAAATAAAATAAAATAAAATAAAATAAAATAAAATAAAATAAAATAAAATAAAATACCAACCCTGCTGTATAAAAGCCAATATAATTTACAGAAAATACCAGCAGATAGGATGCTGGACCCAATATACTTGCAAGCTTTGATAATGGCCTACCAATATGACCTTATTAAGTGTCTATCCTAAAACTTCTATTGTTTTAAAAACAGAGACAAGACTATTTATTCTGCCTCTAGAAATCAAATCTAACTTTACTATTTATAGCAATAAAATGCTATCCAAACTGATAGCTCTCACATCATCTCTAGGAATAAGATGTTTGTAATATGGACTTTTGTTTTGTATAAGCACACATACGGGAATCTGCAGTAATTTCGTCAAAAGTGATTAACAAGACATGTCAAAGCCAAGAACATTAGACATGAATTTCTGATTGAAGTTCTGACTTCTTCCTTTCAACCCTCCATACACAGCACACAGCCAGAAAAATCCAAAGCTTATGCTGTTATTAGGGAAGGCCGAGCACTGAAACCTTTAAAAGCTAATTTGGTACTCAACTGATCATAAGAGTTAAATGGATCTAGTTGTATGGACAGTGCTAAATTTTTCCATGATTTTTAGGGGAGCTGTGCTGCTCAAGATCTGATGTGTGCTGGAGGTGACTGTTACAGAGAACCTGAGGTTGTAGCTGTTTGGCAGAAGGACAGTTTGGGCGGTGAGGTGGTTTGTTTTCTATCCTGGGAGTAACTAACACTGCTAAGCATTTAGCCAAGTAAAAGTCACTTTGTCTGCTTCTCAGAGGAAGGACTGGATTTGACTTGAATGCAACCTGAGCACTACTCATTCCTCACATAACCCAACATTTCATCTACTAGGTCAGATAAGCAAACATTAAACCTTCTATTAAACTGTCAACAATGAAATAGATAATCTTGCCAATCTATGTCAGTTCAGAGTCAGTCCTTAGGTAACTGAGGAAGCTCATGCCTGCGTATGTTACTGGGTCAGAATAGGTTAGTGGTGCTGCCCACTCTGAAATGGACCCTCATTTGGCAGCTTTTGTTTATACTTATGAAGACTAGAAACTTAAAGCTTAAGATACACTTCCTCAAATCAGTAATTGTTATAATGTAAAATTTCTTAAGGTTAAGAAGTTTTATTAAAAGGAATGACTTCTACATGTAAATACTATCCTTGTTATGATCCAGTACAAAAGATGAGTGAGCTCAAAGGAGTCAAGTGAAGAAAGCATCTTTCTACTGAGCTGCTGGGATTCACTTCCCAGTAACAGAGCCTGTTTGACTTTTCCCCATTTCTTTCAGATCACCCTCTGGCTAGTTGCTATAAAAAAATTTATTTTATAGATATGAAAAAGGAAAGAGTAGTCCCATCTTTGTCTATTCTTCTAGGCCACTTCAGAGCCCTCTGGAGACAGAGTATGTCACTGGGTTTCTCCTGCTTTAACAATATTCTCTAAGCTATTGTAATACTGACATGTCTGTACTACATAACCCCTGAAGGTACAATTTACAGATGATGAAAAGTCAGAAACACTGCATAGTTCTCCTACTGCAGCTTTCCAAGCTCTGAGAAAAAAAAAAAACAGGCAATAGCACCATAAGTCTGTAAGTTCAGGAAAAACCCTAAAACGTCTTGTACTTGTCTGTTCTAATCAGCACAGTTATCTTCAAGTGGAAGATCAGCAGCTCCCACTTTAAAGGGGATCTTAACTTCTATAGCTGCTGACTGATAACAAACATTTAGAGGAAGTCTTCCTTCTTGTCATGGCCAAATAGACTCAAGGTGCGCATCGTAACAAAATTCATAAACATCTTCTATGGACATATGCTTTTGCTAAGAACACTGCTACACAGAACATTTATGTTAAAGATATTTATCTGAAAACTCCCACAATACTTCAAATAAGTACTTAATTTTGTAGCTGTTGTATACTTAAAACTTCCCTTAATTTCTACACTGCACTGCACTTTCCTTCTTGAAAGAAATAACCTGTGGAGAATTTATGGAGGTGCTGGTATTTGCTTGTGTTAAATCAGTCCCATATTCTGAAGGGGAGAGTGGAGCCAGAAAGCCCCAAATGAAAAAACAGGAAAAGGTTACATCGCGGAATCAATTAGACGAGATCTTCAAAGACCATTCTGCTTCCCCCCACTCTCACATTCCAGGGAAAAATGATCCCTCACTTGCTGTCGTATTCCCATAGCTCAGATGATAATCAGAAATCCCTAGAATCTAATGTTTATTTTATTTGGCAAACTATACTTTTATGAACACCTGTTTATATCTTTATCGTCCCACAAGCTGGATGAACTCAATTTACAATGCAAATTGCACTATCATGTGGCAAAAGTAACTTCAAAGAAAGAAAAAAAAAAAATGGAGAGAGCACAAAGCATCTTGGATCTTTCTTTTTTCCCCAGAAACTTTACATTTGTTAGAAGGGTACCAAATGGGCAGCCCCAGAAATTAAAACCCTTTCTGCACGCAGGAGATACCATGTATTACAATGACAGAGCAAGAACCAGCTTTTCCTTCTCTCAGGTCCCTCTCCACATTTCAAAGCAAGACTGCAGTAAGGAAGGATGAATTACATTAGAATTATTTTACTGTTCAACATTACTTAACGATACTCAACCTCTGCATAGTGTTAGCAAGGTTCTTAATAGTCTGTGGATTCTGATCCTACTTGAATAGTCAAAACAGTATCACAAATAAAGCCCAAAATGGCCAGGAGCAACATAGTACAGAAAAGTCAGGAACAAAGAAAAGTGTCAGGTCAGTATAACAAATTCCATAAGCTGATCTTGGATCCAACAGTCTTTGACTCCCAGTACATCCAACCCCTCCCGAGAAGGTCTTAGGCCCAATATGACAAGATCTGTTTACAGCATAAATGAGAAAAGGACTCAAGATTTCCTATTTCAGTTTCACATATAAACCACTACTATCTATCAAATGAAAATGTGTATTTTTCACTATCTTAAAATGTTCACATTCCTTTTTCATTTATAGCAAGTCACGTTTTATGTTACTATTACTGTGCTGACATCCCAAAAAATAATGCAATGGGAAAAATACAAAACCTGGGAAAGATGATTCTTTAATGCAGAATGCATAATCTAAATCTGGTAGAAAAACTCTGGACAAAGTTTACCTGGAAACTTAACTGAAGATAGGCTGCTGTAAAACTCTGTCATGTTTGCAGTTTAAGTCCTGGAATATTCTGGAGCCCATCCCTTTATCTAGTACACAGTGTGTCACATGTGTTATGGCATAAAGACACCCTTTAAATGGGGTGAGACATATGCTGGAGAATCTGCATAGTGAAAAAAACCTTGACAAAGCCAACCTGACCATCAGGCTTTTATAGTGACTGTGGTAATGTAATGAAGAGCTGGACACACTAGCAGAGAGCATCCATCTCCCATCAGTGCTGAGATTGCCCAAGCTGGTTACAATGCAGACACCAGCACAAAGCTATGTGATGCAATCAAAGTCAAGGTTATGAAATGGCTTATGTTTTCATGCATGCATTCTTCAAGCATATATAGAACTGCAAGCCCTAGAGAATCTGATATCCCACATTAGTCACACAGGTTTCCACTTAAATGCCTAACTTATTTACCCAGAATACAATCTATTCAGAGCATAGTCTCTGGACATTAGCTAAATAAAGCACTGCCAAATGCTATGACACACAATCCTGCTATGAGAAATACCAACTGAATGGACATAGAAGATCACCAAATAATTTACATTTCACCAAGCATCAGGGAGTCAGAAAAAACAGGTAAAATTACAGAAGGTATGGTAATCAAATTTAACTTAAATAAGCAAGGCGTTTTCTTCATTCCTGGTTTGCAATCCAAATGAACAGGGATAAAAGAAACAGTATGTATACATATATATATGGTAGTTGGCCACTAGATAACAATTATGCTCTGACAGCATGGGTGCTATATGCTATTTCAAAACTAACAAAGTGTATACTTATCCTCTAAGGCAAATTCTTCCTTTTTGCTCAAAAAAAAAAAAAAAAAAAGAGAGAATTTCTCAGCTGCCTTTAAAAACATCTAATTTGCTGATTTGCTGCATCTCTGTCTGCTAACCATAAAGCCTGCCAAGAGTCTCATAAGGAAGAAAACATGCATAGTTTACAATGTGCTGAGAAGCTGGATTTACAGCACTCTGAAGAAGCATCAAAGATCAGTGCTAGCATTGTTGTAATCCAAACTATCAAACAAGGTTTTCTAAGAAGAAGTGACTCATTAAAAGAAATTTCTGTAAAAGAAAAGGAAGGGCAGGGAATTTTTCCAGAAGCAGACCAATTTCCCTTAAAAAGACAGCCTTGAGAAACAA